TCTAAGTCCAGCCTGCCGGTTTCCCTGAACCCCTTCATAAATATTACTTTGCTCACACTCCAACAGCACGTCAAGTATTAAAAACCATTTGTCTCCATTCACTCCTATTAAACACGCTCACGCATGTCCGCTGGAAGTCCAAGCCACTCGCTCACAAAACCTCCTTTACCCCCTCCCTCCAACCTTTCCTAGGCCTACCCCTACCCCGCCTTCCTTCCACTACAGACTGATGCACTCTTGAAGTCATTCTGTTTCGCTCCATTCTCTCTACATGTCCGAACCACCTCAACAACCCTTCCTCAGCCCTCTGGACAACAGTTTTGGTAATCCCGCACCTCCTCCTAACTTCCAAACTACGAATTCTCTGCATTATATTCACACCACACATTGCCCTCAGACAAGGCATCTCCACTGCCTCCAGCCATCTCCTCGCTGCAACATTCATCACCCATGCTTCACACCCATATAAGAGTGTTGGTAAAACTATACTCTCATACATTCCCCTCTTTGCCTCCAAGGACAAAGTTCTTTGTCTCCACAGACTCCTAAGTGCACCGCTTACCCTTTTCCCCTCATCAATTCTATGATTCACCTCATCTTTCATAGACCCATCCGCTGACACGTCCACTCCCAAATATCTGAATACATTCACCTCCTCCATACTCTTTCCCTCCATTCTGATATCCAATCTTTCATCACCTAATCTTTTTGTTATCCTCATAACCTTACTCTTTCCTGTATTCAGTTTTAATTTTCTTCTTTTACATATCCTACCAAATTCATCCACCAATCTCTGCAACTTCTCTTCAGAATCTCCCAAGAGCACAGTGTCATCAGCAAAGAGCAACTGTGACAACTCCCACTTTATGTGTGATTCTTTATCTTTTAACTCCACGCCTCTTGCCAAGACCCTCGCATTTACTTCTCTTACGACCCCATCTATAAATATATTAAACAACCACGGTGACATCACACATCCTTGTCTAAGGGCTACTTTTACTGGGAAATAATTTCCCTCTTTCCTACATACTCTAACTTGAGCTTCACTATCCTCGTAAAAACTCTTCACTGCTTTCAGTAACCTACCTCCTGCACCATACACCTGCAACATCTGCCACATTGCCCCCCTATCCACCCTGTCATACGCCTTTTCCAAATCCATAAATGCCACAAAAACCTCTTTAGCCTTATCTAAATACTGTTCACTTATATGTTTCACTGTAAACACCTGGTCCACACACCCCCTACCTTTCCTAAAGCCTCCTTGTTCATCTGCTATCCTATTCTCCGTCTTACTCTTAAATCTTTCAATAATAACTCTACCATACAATTTACCAGGTATACTCAACAGACTTATCCCCCCTATAATTTTTGCACTCTCTTTTGTCCCCTTTGCCTTTATACAAAGTAACTATGCATGCTCTCTGCCAATCCCTAGGTACCTTACCCTCTTCCATATATTTATTAAATAATAACACCAGCCACTCCAAAACTATATCCCCGCCTGCTTTTAACATTTCTATCTTTATCCCATCAATCTCAGCTGCCTTACCCCCTTTCATTTTACCTACTGCCTCACGAACTTCCCCCACACTCACAACTGGCTCTTCCTCACCCCTACAAGATGTAATTCCTCCTTGCCCTATAGACGAAATCACAGCTTCCCTATCTTCATCAACATTTAACAATTCCTCAAAATATTCCCTCCATCTTCCCAATACCTCAAACTCTCCATTTACTAACTCTCCTCTCCTATTTTTAACTGACAAATCCATTTGTTCCCTAGGCTTCCTTAACTTCTTAATCTCACTCCAAAACTTTTTCTTATTTTCGACAAAATTTGTTGATAACATCTCACCCACTCTCTCATTTGCTCTCTTTTTACTTTGCTTCACCACTCTCTTAATCTCTCTCTTTTTCTCCATATACTCTTCCCTTCTTGCATCACTTCTACTTTGTAAAAACTTCTCATATGCTAACTTTTTCTCCCTTACTACTCTTTACATCATCATTCCATCAATCGCTCCTCTTCCCTCCCGCACCCACTTTCCTGTAACCACAAACTTCTGCTGAACACTCTAACACTACATTTTTAAACCTACCCCATACCTCTTCGACCCCATTGCCTATTCTCTCATTAGCCCATCTATCCTCCAATAGCTCTTTATATCTTACCCTAACTGCCTCCTCTTTTAGTTTATAAACCTTCACCTCTCTCTTCCCTGATGCTTCTATTCTCCTTGTATCCCATCTACCTTTTACTCTCAGTGTAGCCACAACTAAAACGTGATTTGATATATCTGTGGCCCCTCTATAAACATGTACATCCTGAAGTCTACTCAACAGTCTTTTATCTACCAATACATAACCCAACAAACTACTGTCATTTCGCCCTACATCATATCTTGTGTACTTATTTATCCTCTTTTTCTTAAAATATGTTTTACCTATAACTAAACCCCTTTCTATACAAAGTTTAATCAAAGGGCTCCCATTATCATTTACACCTGGCACCCCAAACTTACCTACCATACCCTCTCTAAATGTTTCTCCTACTTTAGCATTCAGGTCCCCTACCACAATTACTCTCACTTGGTTCAAAGGCTCCTATACATTCACTTAACATCTCCCAAAATCCCTCTCTCTCTTCTACATTCCTCTCTTCTCCAGGTGCATACACGCTTATTATGACCCACTTTTCGCATCGAACCTTTACTTTAATCCACATAATCCTTGAATTTACACATTCATATTCTCTTTTCTCCTTCCATAACTGATCTTTCAATATTACTGCTACCCCTTCCTTAGCTCTAACTCTCTCAGATACTCCAGATTTAATCCCATTTATTTCCCCCCACCGAAACTCCCCTACCCCTTTCAGCTTTGTTTCGCTTAGGGCCAGGACATCCAACTTCTTTTCATTCATAACATCAGCAATCATCTCTTTCTTGTCATCCGCACTACATCCACGCACATTCAAGAATCCCAGTTTTATAAAGTTTTTCTTCTTCTCTTTTTTAGTAAATGTCTACAGGAGAAGGGGTTACTAGCCCATTGCTCCCGGCATTTTAGTCGCCTCATACGACAAGCATGGCTTACGGAGGAAAGATTCTTTTCCACTTCCCCATGGACAATAGAAGAAATAAAGAACAAGAGCTATTTAGAAAAAGGAGAAAAACCTAGATGTATGTATATATATATGCATGTGCGTGTCTGTGAAGTGTGACCAAAGTGTAGGTCCAAAACTTTGTGTAGGTCCAAAACTTTGCGTAGGTCCAAAACTTTGCGTAGGTCCAAAACTTTGTGTAGGTCCAAAACTTTGTGTAGGTCCAAAACTTTGTGTAGGTCCAAAACTTTGTGTAGGTCCAAAACTTTGTGTAAGTCCAAAACTTTGTGTAGGTCCAAAACTTTGTGCAAGTCAAAAACTTTGTGTAGGTCCAAAACTTTGTGTAGGTCCAAAAGTTTGTGTAAGTCCAAAACTTTGTGTAGGTCCAAAACTTTGTGCAAGTCAAAAACTTTGTGTAGGTCCAAAACTTTGAGTAGGTCCAAAACTTTGTGCAAGTCCAAAACTTTGTGTAGGTACAAAACTTTGTGCAAGTCCAAAACTTTGTGCAAGTCAAAAACTTTGTGTAGGTCCAAAACTTTGAGTAGGTCCAAAACTTTGTGCAAGTCCAAAACTTTATGTAGGTCCAAAACTTTGAGTAGGTCCAAGACTTCATGTAAGTCCAAGGCAGATTGAAACTTGTATAGTTTTATTTCAGTTTTTAAGACCAGTTGGGAATAATATAATTATATATCTCCCAGAGGAGGTTCCCTAACATATTTACATGATTTCTTTGCTTCCTCCAGGAAAAATAAACGAGATAAATAAGTCCTGAAGCCGATCATGTTGCACTGAAAGCAATGTTAGTTTCTTTAATATAACTGAGAGTTGAAACCTACACAGCCCAGGTAAAATGTGAACCTGATCAACAAAGCACATCACTAAAGGTATAGAATACCGACATTATGAAAGTTAAGACACATGTGCAACATCTGGATATCTTTATTGTAGACGTTTCGCCATCCAGTGGCTTTATCAATACAGATTCTAGGACATAATAGGAAGACAGTAGAACTATATACAAAATAGTCCAAGGCCGAGGGACTGATTACCTCATCTTTTGTATATAGTTCTACTGTCTTCCTATTATGTCCTAGAATCTGTATTGATAAAGCCACTGGATGGCGAAACGTCTACAATAAAGATATCCAGATGTTGCACATGTGTCTTAACTTTCACAAAGCACATCACTACAAAAAGATTTAATGTTATCAGAAAAAAGCATTTTCCAGTTATTGGTTGGTAGCGCACTTATCTCACACACTGAGTGTTCGACATGCTCTGCATGACCAGAAGCTTTCTATACAGTATGTCACTAATGTCAGCTTCGTCTGGTCTGTATAAGTTGTATCATGTATTTATACAAATAGAGATAATTATGATTATTATTAACTATCAGCAAACTGGCAAATTAGCATCTGCATGGCATAACCTACGAGTCCTTATAAGATGTATTAAGATGAATATTATACCAAGCCATTTTAAAAACAAAATTATCAAATTGTAAACTACACAACAATAAAAATCGGAAACTTTTCAGTTGGATATTCATGCACTGAAAGTTTGAAGCCAATCGGTGGAGGCTATACGTTAAACCAAGTGTATAAACACATGTTGAAGATTGAGACACTTATGCAGCATATGGGAATCTTTATTCATGCTGCATAAGTGTCTCAATCTTCAACTTGTCGTTTTTTCAAACCATTCATCACATAAACACATGTCAATATTTAAGATTTCTTTGAATTTGTAACCCGGGGAAGATTAGCCACCCAGGGTAACCCAAGAAAATCAGTGCGTTATCGAGGACTGTCTCTCATATTTCTACTGTGGTTCTTTAATCTTGTTCCCCAGGATGTGACCCAGACCAGTCAACTACTGCTAGGTGAACACGGACAGCAGGTGTGAGGAAGCATGCCCAATGTCCACCATAGCGGGAATTTAACCACCTGATACAATACACTAGAGTGGAAATAAGAATCAGTTGGCAGTACTCACCCATCTCAGTGTAGCAGAATGCTCCACACATGGCAACAGCCCCAGAGACTACCCACACCGCCAGAGACATGCCCACGCTGCCAGTATATTGCAGCACCATCCTGGGCGACACAAAGATACCTGAGCCTATCATACCTCCCAAGGTGAATCCCACACAGTCGAGCAATCCCAACTCCCTCTTGAGTTTCATCCCACAGCCTCCAAGCTCTTCACTACACTTTTTGCTGACATCTTCAACTTCTGCAACATTGTTTTCTTCCGATGGCTCCCGTTTATGTACATCAGCTTTACTTTCCGTTTTCGCAGGGGATTCCATTTCTGTTTGCTCTGCTCTGTGTTTTGAGAGGCTTTGTGTTGTGTGTAGCTCACGAGGATGGCAAGTGCTACCTTCGGCGTGGACACTTTCTTTACTCTCCATAATGAGATCTGTCGTTCTCACTGGACCCGCCAAATTCGGTTCTTTATTCTTCATCCTGAGTTCATCTCCATTGCTCATTTTGGCCCCAGAACTAGACTCAACTGGCTGGTGCTCTATGACTTCTTTTTCACAAATGACTTCTGTCTTTCGGGAATTAATGTTCTGTGAGTCTTCTAAGGTATGAAGCAGGACTCTCGGGAGGTGCGGAATCGTCAAGACCTGAGATGATGTTCACGTAGCAGCTGACACTGTCTGTCTGGTGCCTCACCATGAATCTTCTCTCACTCCTGCCTCATATTCACTAACAAAATGTATTCCAATCACCAACGATGCTGCCTGACGTAGGAGATTTGAGCACAGGAGAGTTTTGTTTTTATAATATAGTGTCCCATGCTTAATGATTCAAAAAAAAAGTTAGTAATGAAACTGGAGTAATTATAAAAGTGATTGTGATGTGTAATAATAACAAGATGTAAACTGTGAGAATGTAGTAGTGAGTTATTATGTTACTTAGGATGACTTATCAGAACATTATAAGGTCACCTTCCTTAAAGAGGGTTTCTTGATGCTGGTGAGTAGCTCTGTATCCAAGGAATTAGAGCTATCCTCCCATTCCGCATATAAAAAAAGATCGATAGTTCCCAATAACTTTCTTAAACAATCGTTGCCTTTACTTAAAAAAAATAAGCTAACAAAACTGATACAAAAATTTTATTTCCAGGAGTGAGTAGGAGTTATATTTAAGCCTAAATACACCGTACAACGCCTTCAAGTTCTAAGGTGTTGAATTACAGTCCTCGGTAGTGTACAAATATAATTGTCATAGCTGTAATGCTTTGTATATTGGTAAAAGTAGTCGTCAGCTGAAGGTCTGTGTCTGTGAACTCTGGAGGAGATATTTTAGTGCAAATAAACAACTGAATAAACCCATTTTGTTGACGACATATGTCAACACTGTGAAGCCTCAGATCACACTCGGTCCACTTGATGCAATACTGACACCAGCAGAGACTACACCAGCAGAGTCTACACCAGCAGAGACTACACCAGCAGAGTCTACACCAGCAGAGACTACACCAGCAGAGACTACACAAGCAGAGTCTACACCAGCAGAGTCTACACCAGCAGAGACTACACCAGCAGAGTCTACACCAGCAGAGACTACACCAGCAGAGTCTACACCAGCAGAGTCTACACCAGCAGAGACTACACCAGCAGAGTCTACACCAGCAGAGACTACACCAGCAGAGTCTACACCAGCAGAGACTACACCAGCAGAGTCTACACCAGCAGAGTCTACACCAGCAGAGACTACACCAGCAGAGTCTACACCAGCAGAGACTACACCAGCAGAGTCTACACCAGCAGAGACTACACCAGCAGAGACTACACCAGCAGAGTCTACACCAGCAGAGTCTACACCAGCAGAGACTACACCAGCAGAGTCTACACCAGCAGAGTCTACACCAGCAGAGACTACACCAGCAGAGTCTACACCAGCAGAGACTACACCAGCAGAGTCTACACCAGCAGAGACTACACCAGCAGAGTCTACACCAGCAGAGACTACACCAGCAGAGTCTACACCAGCAGAGACTACACCAGCAGAGTGTACACCAGCAGAGACTACACCAGCAGAGTGTACACCAGCAGAGTGTACACCAGCAGAGACTACATCAGCAGAGTGTACACCAGCAGAGTGTACACCAGCAGAGTGTACACCAGCAGAGTGTACACCAGCAGAGACTACACCAGCAGAGTGTACACCAGCAGAGTCTACACCAGCAGAGTGTACAAAAGCAGAGTGTACACCAGCAGAGACTACACCAGCAGAGTGTACACCAGCAGAGTCTACACCAGCAGAGACTACACCAGCAGAGTGTACAACAGCAGAGTGTACACCAGCAGAGTGTACACCAGCAGAGTGTACAACAGCAGAGACTACACCAGCAGAGTGTACAACAGCAGAGACTACACCAGCAGAGTGTACAACAGCAGAGACTACACCAGCAGAGTGTGCACCAGCAGAGTGTACACCAGCAGGGTGTACACCTACAGAGTGTACACCACCATAGTGTACACCAGCAGGGTGTACACCAACAGAGTGTACACCAGAAGAATCTACACCAACGGAGGCTATATAAGCAGAATCTTGTATAACCTCTGCTCCCGCCTACTTCCTGTACTCGACTGAAGAAGCCTACTGTGTAGGCGAAACGTTTCGGAATAAAGTTGCCTAAATGTTGCCTATGAGACTTAACTACCAGAGTCTTCACCCGCAGAGTCTACACCAACAGAGGCTACACCAGCAGAGTCTACACCAACAGAGGCTACACCAGCAGAGTCTACACCAACAGAGGCTACACCAGCAGAGTCTACACCAACAGAGACTATACCAGCAGAGTATACACCAGCAGAGTGTACACCAGCAGAGTGTACACCACAAGAGACTACACCAGCAGAGTCTACACCAGCAGAGTATACACCAACAGAGGCTACACCAGCAGAGTCTATACCAACAGAGGCTATACCAGCAGAGTGTACACCAGCAGAGTGTACACCAGCAGAGTGTACACCAGCAGAGTGTACAACAGCAGAGACCACACCTGCAGTGTACACCAGCAGAGTCTACACCAACAGAGACTATACCAGCAGAGTATACACCAGCAGAGTGTACACCAGCAAAGTGTACACCACCAGAGACTACACCAGCAGAGTCTACACCAGCAGAGTATACACCAACAGAGGCTACACCAGCAGAGTCTATACCAACAGAGGCTACACCAGCAGAGTGTACACCAGTAGGGTGTACACCAGCAGAGTGTACACCAGCAGAGTGTACACCAGCAGAGTGTACAACAGCAGAGACTACACCTGCAGTGTACACCAGTAGAGTGTACACCAGCAGAGTCTACACCAGCAGAGATTACACCAGCAGAGTGTACACCAGCATAGTGTACACCAGCAGAAACTACACCAGCAGAGACTACACCAGCAGAGAATACGCCACAAAGAGTACACCAGCAGCGTGTACACCAACGGAGGCTATACCAGCAGAGTCTACACCAGCAGGTCTACACCAGCAGAGTGTACACCACATAGTGTACACCAGCAGAGTGTACACCACATAGTGTACACCAGCAGAGTGTACACCAGCAGGGACTACACCAGCAGAGTGTACACCACATAGTGTACACCAGCAGAGACTACACCAGCAGAGTGTACATCAGCAGAGTGTACATCAGCAGAGACTATACCAGCAGACACTACATCAGCCGAAACTACACCAGCCGAGACTACACCAGCAGAGACTACACCAGCCGAGACTACACCAGCAGAGACTACACCAGCCAGGACTACACCAGCAGAGACTACACCAGCAGAGTGTATACCAGCAGAGACTACACCAGCAGAGACTACACCAGCAGAGACTACACCAGCAGAGACTACACCAGCAGAGTGTATACCAGCAGAGACTACACCAACTTGTAATCTGGGATTTGGAGGGTCTCAGTAGCAGCCCGAAGAAGGGCTGTATCAAGGCACTTAAAACAAGGGAGGTAACCCCAGACAGCATGGTACAGCAAGGGAGTTCCTTGGCAACTGTGTGGGGAGGGAGTTTTAATATCAGCAAGCAGGTTCTGCTATAATACTGGGGATGATCCTAAGACCTTTCGTATTTGCTGATAGTATTTTTTTTTCTTTGGTGCCAACAATTTCAGATACCCTTGTAATGTGTTTATTATATTGTAAGTGGTTTTATCTGGGTATGTTTTACTTACCCCTTTGAGCTATGTACATAAGGTCCATTTGTCCTATCTTAAATTGAATAATATACTAATATTGTTTCTTAGGAGAGTAAAGCCCCTGAAAAGGTGCCTACTGCTCAATTTTCAGGCCAAACTACCCTAAGAGCCAGTACTTTTCAGGACCACTATCTTATAACTATCCTGTATTATTTTCTCTCTGGGTTTTCTCCTGCTCTAACACTAACTTGGTATCTTCCCCCTTCTCCTATGACTGCAGCTACTTTTATCTCTTCTGCTATTAAAAGAGCAGGTGGTGGCAGCCTACTTCCCAGAGAATTGTGTGTTATCTTCTATTCTCTCAAATTCTCCGTAAGGCCTGAGTGGTTGAGGAAAGAGGACGTGTGTGTGTTGAGTGAGGTCCTAGGCCTTCTGTCTCAGAACTGCTTACTTTACCCGACTGATAACTCATCATGCGGCTCATATCGTGGTATCGCAGCTGCATTGCTGCTGGAACTCTTATGTGTGAACTGTGACTAGTGACATACCTAGTGAAACAAACATGTTGATTTGAAGTGGCTTTAAAAGGCCTACCTTCACTGCCCCTCGCCTGCCTCCCCTCCTTCCTCGATTTGGAACTCAGCCATTCGCCTCTAGAGGCGGTTTTTGCCAGTCCACAAAGGTGCTTGAGTGCCCGTGTCAGTCCTCCTGCCAGCACTCCACGATTTGTTCCTCACTCTTCTTACGAATGTGTCTCCTGTGTGCCTATCTGCCTGCTGCAATCAAATATCCAAGTGGCTGACGCGGGTTTAGCAAGCACATTCAAGCAGACTTGAAAGCAGCACTCCAACCAACCAGGACAAACTAAGGTAGCCTGCAGTTATAACTGTCCTGATCCCCAGGACGTCTCCGTATACGACCTACTGTGTTGCTGGCATACCAGTGCTTCCTGTTCCTGGAGTTTACCTGGAGAGAGTTCCGGGGGTCAACGCACCCGCGGCTCGGTCTGTGACCAGGCCTCCTGGTGGATCAGAGCCTGATCAACCAGGCTGGCTGCACGCAATCCAACGTACGAGTCACAACCCGGCTGGTCAGGTACCGACTTTAGGTGTTTGTCCAGTGCCTGCTTAAAAACAGCCAGGGGTCTATTGGTAATCCCCTTTATGTATGCTGCGAGGCAGTTGAACAGTCTCGGGCCCCTGACACTTATTGTATTGTCTCTTAACGTGCTATTGACACCCCTGCTTTTCATTGGGGGGATGTTGCATCGTCTGCCGAGTCTTTTGCTTTCGTTGTGAGTGATTTTCGTGTGCAAGTTCGGTACTAGTCCTCTAGGATTTTCCAGGTGTATATAATCATGTATCTCTCCCGCCTACGTTTCAGGGAGTAGACTCTACTCAGTAGAGGTTCAGGAAATTCAAGCGCTCCCAGTAATTGAGGTGTTTTATCTCCGTTATGCACGCCGTGAAGGTTCTCTGTACATTTTCTGAGTCAGCAATTTCACCTGC